ATCAACGAAAACCTTGTTTTGTCTCGTAAAAAACGGTATATATAATATGTGTCAGTGCGACGGATGAGGGAGAAGGATGAGGGAGACGGATGAGGGAGACGGATGAGGGAGACGGATGAGGGAGAAGGATGAGGGAGAAGGATGAGGGAGAAGGACGAGGAAGACGGACGAGGGAGAAGGACGAGGGAGAAGGACGAGGGAGAAGGACGAGGGAGACGGACGAGGGAGACGGACGAGGGAGACGGACGAGGGAGACGGACGAGGGAGAAGGACGAGGGAGACGGACGAGGGAGACGGACGATGGAGAAGGACGAGGGAGACGGACGAGGGAGAAGGACGAGGGAGAAGGACGAGGGAGACGGATGAGGGAGAAGGACGAGGGAGACGGATGAGGGAGACGGATGAGGGATACGAATGAGGGAGACGGATGAGGGAGACGGATGAGGGAGAAGGATGAGGGAGACGGATGAGGGATATGGATGAGGGAGACGGATGATTTCACAGATTTCCTGAAGCAGTGTCACTAAGGGGTTAATGTTGATCGATAATTACGGCACAATTATCCTTCCGTTGTTACGCGGACCGAACAGTTCCAGCCAACGTACAAAGGAATGAGCCGGAACATTCTCTCCGATGTCTAATTAGATTTTTTTTTTAAATCCGCAACACATTTTCCGCACATGAATAAGGACGCTCGCCCCGTGTGGATTCTCTGATGCGTAACAAGCTTTCTTTTCTAATGGGAAGATTTCCCGCACTCCCAACATGAAAATGACGCTCTCCAGCGTGGATTCTGCAGTAACGAACATGGATTACGTGCCTTCGCACTTCCCAAGACCTCCTGCTCTCCAGTCACCTCATCCCATGCTCGCCTCCAGGTGACTTCTCTAGAGTGCGTTCCATCCGCTTATACTCCCTACCAGTGGAATGTATAGTAAAATATATGTTTATTTGTTTATTGGGCAGATTCAGATGGCAGGTGTGACCTCATAGCTGCTTTCCAGATATTTCGATGAACATTGACCCATTTTTAACCCGTTCCCAACCGATGACGGGATTATCCCGTCACCATCATTCAATTAGTTAACGACCGGTGACGGCATAATCACGTCATGCGGTACAATGAGCGATAATAGGATTATAGGAGTATGTGAGGTGGAGGGGGAAAGGTGAGCTCCATTGTACTTCCTGTATTCCCCCGTCATTATAGGAATGTTATCATCTTCATCATCAATATGCAATGGATATTTCTTTATTATCACACGCAGATTATATCTCAAAATACAGATAATAGAAAACATCACGAGAAACAACAAAACATTGGCAGATCTTTAACCCGTTCCCAACCGATGACGGGATAATCCTGTCAGCTTCTTTCAATTTGTTATCAACCGGTGACGGGATAATCCTGTCAGCTTCTTTCAATTTGTTATCAACCGGTGACGGGATAATCCGTCATCAATCTTTCCATTTGTGATCAACCGGTGACGGGATAATCCGTCATCAATCTTTCCATTTGTGATCAACCGGTGACGGGATAATCCGTCATCAATCTTTCCATTTGTTTTCAACCGGTGACGGGATAATCCTGTCATGTGGTACAATGAGCGCTGGTCCATGTAATGGACCGGCAGCTCATTGAATTACTGCTGTTGACGAGTCCCTCAGGGTCCGAGGCAGACCCTCAACAGTAAGTTAGGTGGTCAGAACCAGATGGCAGGTAGGACTTCATAAAGGACTTTCCAGATATTTTGATAAACATTGACAGATCCGTGTGCAAATGTACAAAAATAGCAATGTGCTTCAAATTGTTCCGAACTGTCCCCCTCGGGTGGGTACTCACCAGAGTGAAGTTGGTAGAAAACTTTTAGTGAGTGGTGTCGGGATTAGGTTTTAGCACAGACTGAGACCCGCGGGGAATACGAGAGGGACAGTTCGGAACAATTTGAAGCACATTGCTGTTTTTGCACATTTGTACATTTGCACACGGAACTTACCGTTCACCTGTTACCCGCGAGGGACAGTTTGGATCAATCTCAAGTACACTGTTACTTTTGCACATTTTTATATTTGTACATGGAAACCACCTTTCACTTGGATTTTTTAAGCATTGGACACTGATTTTGACGTTTTAAACATTGTTCGTTTATTTAATCTATCTGAATGAATTTTAGTGGTTCTAATTGATTTCTGTATTTTGGTTAGACTGGTTTTATCTATACTTATTTATGAAGCTAGTTCTGTTTTATACTTTTATATTAGCTTCCATACTGACCTCGCCAGAATCAATTATAGCTCATTTTTTTGCTCATACAGCTACCTTTAGCGCTTTGTTTCTTTTGATCAAAACTTCCTTTCTGAATTAAACATTTCCCGCACTCTCAACATGATAAGGGACTTTCACCATTGTGAATTCTCCGATGTCTAACGAAGCCCTGTTTCTGAGCGAAAGATTTCCCGCAGGCCGAACATGAATAAGGACGCTCACCCGTGTGAATCCTCTGGTGCTCATCAAGGTTTCCTTTCTTATTGAAAGATTTCCCGCAGGCCGAACACGCATAAGGACGCTCACCCGTGTGAATTCTCAGATGTGCAGCGAGGCTTGCTTTTCTAGTAAAACGTTTCCCGCACTCTGAACATGAATAAGGACGCTCACCCGTGTGAATTCTTGTGTGATTACGAAGGTCTGCATTTGAAGTGAAAGATCTCTCGCACTCTGCACATGAATAAGGAAGCACACCTGTGTGCATCTCCTGGTGTTTAACAAAAAAATATTTCTTAGTGAAAGTTTTCCCGCACTCTGAACAGAAATAAGGACACTCATCAGTGTGAATCAACTGGTGCTGAACAAGAAAATATTTCTCAGTGAAAGTTTTCCCGCACTCTGAACATAAATATGGACGCTCACCCGTGTGATTCCTCTGGTGTTTAAGAAATATTTCTTTCCGAGAGAAACATTTCCCACACTCTGAACATGAATAAGATTTTTCACCTGTGTGAATTTTCTGGTGTGTAGCTAGGCTCCTGTAATAAGCGAAAGATTTCCCGCATTCTGAACATGAATAGGGATACACACCTGTGTGAATACTCTGATGTAGAAGAAGAGTTGATTTCTTTGCAAAACATTTCCCGCATTCTGAACATGAGAAAGGACGCTTGCCAGTGTGAATTTTCAGATGTGAAGCAAAGCTTCCTTTCCAAGCAAAATATTTGCCGCACTCTGAACATGAATAAGGACGATCACCCGTGTGGATTCTCTGATGTTGAACAAGTACTGCTTTCTGAGTGAAAGATTTCCCGCACTCTGAACAAGGAAAAGAACGCTCACCCGTGTGAATTATCCGGTGTAATAAAAGTTTTTGTTTGTAAGTGAAACATTTTCCACACTCTGAACATGAATAAGGACGATCACCCGTGTGACTTCTCTGGTGACTAACAAGCTGTGCTTTTTCAGTGAACGATTTGCCGCATTCTGAACATATATAAGGACGTTCACCTGTGTGAATTCTCTGGTGTCTATTAAGAGCTCCTTTCTGAATAAACAATTTCCCGCACTCTGAACATGAATAAGGACGCTCACCTGTATGAATCTTCTGGTGTGTTAGAAGTGTACTTTTAACAGTGAAACTTTTTCCGCACTCTGAACATGAATAAGGACGCTCACCCGTGTGAGTCCTCTGGTGTGTAAGAAATTTGCTTTCCTCCTTAAAAGATTTGATTATTGAGGAATGGAGATGGACCTTCATATGGTGTACAGTATCTCCTCCACATTTGTTGGTCACATGACGTTATATTGAGGAATATAACCTGGACGTGCTCCTCACACCTTCTACTCAGAAGTGACATAGAACTGTGACCTGTTCCCTCCATAGTGTCTGTTACTTACTTGTGTTGATCGGTAGAGAAATGTCATCCTGATCACTTTTCATCATCATCCCGACCTCCTCCGTGGACGGCCGGTCACCCCCCACATACGTCTCCACTTCTTCCTCTTTAATCTCAACTTTTATATGCTCCTCCTCTTCTTTTATTTCTTCTTTAACATCATTATCACAATCTCTCTGAATATTGAGAACAATGAGATCAGATGTAACACCATAGATAATGAGGAGGTCAGAATGTATCCACTATTATTTCTCTATTTCACCTCATGTGAGATGTTGGGATCTTCCTGTGTGGGATCCCGGGAATACAGAGGACGGGGACATCTCTCTGGTGGGTTCCTCTTACTGGATCCATCTGTAGGAGACACACACACACTGACTGAATACATTGTTTCTATGTGTGTATCAGATGATGGGGGATGTAGGCGGAGCCTCCGTACTGCTCTCTCCTCTTACCCGGTGATGTGAGGGGCGGCTCATTCTCCATCACCACGTCCTTGTAGAGATCCCGGTGTCCTTCTAGATACTCCCACTCCTCCATGGAGAGATAGACCTTTCGTATTACCTCCTCTGCTGCCAGGTCCAGCAATGTCTCCTCTCTACTTCCTTTTTATACTCTTACATCACTTCCTGTATGTACCTTACATCACTTCCTGTCTGTGTTCCACGTGATGTCACCACCTTGTGTTGACTATGAGTACTGGAGTCTACGTTCCATTTCATCATCGGATAATGACCCAAAATGAAGATTCTTCTCATTCCCACCAGCCGTCCGGACGCCGTATATCCAGAATTAGTGTTGAATTAGTTTTTTATTAGTTTTCCAACAGTATTCAAACCGTCCAAAACTTTACTCAAACATTGTAATACATGACAACGTAAGACATGCGGTCAAGAGTTAGGGTTGCCACCTTTTCTTCAAGCGAAACCCGAACACTCAAGCGACGCGCGGACATTTTTTGGAGGGAATGAGTCGCAGCTTATTCATATGTAAATATCACAGTTGAGGCTATTTTTAGTGGTGGGGGGGCAGTAGCCCCTATCTTGGTTGCCCCTGTCTGCCTGATGGGGGGCAGTAGCCCCCTATCTTAATTTCGGTTGCCCCTGTCTGCCTGACATCTTGTGTCCGGGTCTCAGCTGCCATGAAACCCGGACACGGCGTTCAAAACCCGGACTGTCCGGGTCAATCCTGGACAGGTGGCAACCCTATGTACAGGTGGCAACCCGATCAAGAGTATAACATTGTTGGGTCGGCACTGGCAACCTAAGGCCAGTACAGATGCTCCTCGCTTAACGACTTACCTGTTTTGCGGCCACTCGCACTTACGACCTCCGACCTCGCGCGGCAGAGTCAGTGCCTCGAAACGAATCGCACATGTCTATAGAAAATCAATCATCACTTGTGTTCATCACATGCATACATAATCCCTATATGAATGATACCCTTTAACATGGTGAAAGGATGGCGTGGGGACCCCGTGTGTATATCGGGGGTCTTTCGTATGGCTCGTGCCAAGTGTTCCATGACGTAGAGAAGCGGGGAGAGAGGGAATCCCGGTCTAGTGCCGCTCGGAGAACGAGCCGCTCACCATAACCCTCGCCGCGGGGGAGGAATATGGAGACATGATGCTGGAGATAGTAGTCGGCCCCATACCAATGTGGAGAAGAGTCTTGCGGAGGAACCTCCAGTCCGCGCGATCGAGTGCCTCTTCCGCATCGACGGATAGCAGCAGGCATGCCTTAGTGAGATCAGGGGGATCGTTTTAACGGTGTGTTCTCTCCCGAGCGCCTCTCTCCCTGGCACGAAGCCGACTTGTTCTGGGTTGCTGATGGACGGCAAGGACGGGGAGATGCGAAGCGCCAGGAGTTTGGAGAATAATTTGACAGCGACGTTAAGTAGCGATATCGGTCTAACATTCGGACATGGGCAGGGGCGTATCGGCCGCGAGGCAAACAAGGCGTTTGCCTGGAGCGGCAGATTCGCTGAGAGCGGCACCCCGAGTGCCACTCACCTGGATGGGATGACGCGGACGTCGGCCTGGAGAGTGGGCGGCGTGTGCAGACGGCGAGCAGCGTTGATTTAAGGTGAGTCTGTAAGCCCGCGAAGCGGCGTGTCAGTCCG